TTTCTAGTTTTTTTTAGGAAAGGGGGGGGGGGAAGGTTGGGATATAAATTACTTTTTTTTCTATGAAGTTAGTTACACTTTGCCTTAGGCAATACTAGTACAGACACCAAAGGAACTACTGTAGATTGATTGCTTTTTTAAATGCTATTTGTTATTGATGTTTGTTGTGTCAGTGTTTCCTACGTTTGGGGGAGTTTGTTTTTATCTGTGGATATTGTTTGTGAGGAGGGGGTAGTGCTGATGATTCTTTTTTATTTTTGTTGGTGTTTTGTCTTGTTTTCTTTTTTGAAGGGGTGGTTTGGTTTGTTGTTTTGTTTTTGTTGTTGTTGTTGTTATTGTTGTTTTGTTGGTTTTTTATATTTTGGAGGTTGTTTGTCTGCTGTGGTTTCGTTGTTTTGTTTTTTTATTTTTTTGTTTTGTTGTTTGTTTTTGGGTTGTTCCAGGGGGGGGGGTGTTTTTGTTTGGTTTTGTAAAGGGGTCAGGTATTGACCTCAAAAGCCCTTGCTACCCGTTAAACAAGTTACCTGAAAGGCAGATCATGTGGTTGCTAAAAGCAACACCGAGCTTATGTGGAACATCCCAAGACGAGCTAGAAATTATTAGAATGTGAACAAAGTTCCTGGTGTCTATCGTGAGGCTAACAACAGCTGCGTAGTTACCGCCATGGTAGATTACTAAAGAAATGGTGGATGTAATATTAGCTCTTCCTCGTATTTTGGTTCTAGAGTCGTTTAGTTCATACTATTACTAAAGGTCTACATCAAGTTTGTACAAAATTGTGCCTGCAGGTGGTTTACACTTCCATCGACACTAATTGCTATTTATATCATGTGGGGATGGATTGCTTCGACCCTGACTCTCAAGGTCAACACGGGCCGAGAGCTGTACAACATACTAACTGATAGACAATGAGACTCAATAACCCCCCCCCCCCCAAACCTCCACTTTCCTCCGGAATCGAACTCACGTTTTCTGAGGGCGACGTCGAAGTGTCTGGTAACTACAATACAGACGCTGGTAAAATATATTTCACAAATTGGCAAGGAAAAATTATAATATTGATTATACGACAATTTGTTGTTTTTCCTTGTCGTTTTGGGCGTCATGTTTAGATGTCTTACCTCGCAAGGAAGTGTGCCAAAAGTTGTGAGGTGCATTCTCAAACCGGAAAATAGTCTTAATCTTATCGAATACTCCGTCCATCTCCTAGGGTGTGAATGTTTGCCCTTTGAATCTTGACAAACGATCTTAAAGCAAAATCCATGATAAAAATAATTTTGCCTGAGAAGTAGGTACAGGGGAGTAGTATAGTTCAGATCTTAGCGTCCTTCTGGAGATATATGGTCAATGCTTTTGGAATCAGGGATATCTTTTTACGGTAGGGATTACTTTTATAATTTAAAAAGATATTGCCTCGGTGGTCTAGCGGCCTACTCTTTAAATGACTTTCTACAACCAAGAGATCTTTAACGTGCAAACATGTACACGACAGCTCCGAGATTTTTCGTCTTTATCGGGGAAGATACGTTGCGCGATCTTGCCTACCTTAAGATCAGGGGTGTGGAGAAAGGAGACTTACGGTCAGTGAGATATTTTTGCTTTTTTTCCCAGGAGAAAGAAGAAGAAGAAGAAGAAGAAGAAGAAGAAGAAGAAGAAGAAGAAGAAGAAGGAGCAGGAGGAAGAGGAGGAGGAGGAGAAAAAAGGAGGAGGAGGAGGAGGAGGGGGGATGAAGAAGATATAACTGGACATACTGGTGCGGAGCAGGTTCGAACCCGATACCTTTAGCATGAGAGATGTGCACCGTACGTCTACTTCTAGTCAACATTTCATGAGGTTTATTAATATCTCACATAAATAAGGCTGGTTCTGACAATCAGAACAGACGTAGCCCACCTCCTGCGTGATCTGCGTACATTATGCATTATGTTGACGGAGGCGTTATCAACCACACCCCGGGGGCTCTCGAGGCCTAGAGGTTAAGGTGAATACCTTTCATTCAAAAGTCACGGGTTCGAATCCGGGTAGCGACTGAAAAATGTTCTTCTCTAAAATTGTCTCCTTTCCCCTCCTCTCCTGCTCTCCGACAATGCTCTGTCATCTGTTTCCGTCTCCACTTTCTGCCCTCCCCCCCCCCCCTCACCTCCTGTGCCCCCCTCCTCTGGACTCCTGAATCTTTCTGTAGCATTTCTACTGCTACTCCTTGGCTCCTTATTACTGCTGTCTTTCAGCCATACCCCTGATTTCTGGTAGGAAAGATCTGTCTGCACCTAGCCTTCTCGGAAAAGGGCGAAAAATCTCGGAGGTCCTGTGTTCAAGGTGTGCAAGTTGCGCAAGTTAAAGATCCCTTGGTGATCCTAAATCGATAAGAGTAGGCTTCAGCCGCCACCTGGGCAAAATTCAAAATTTCCTTCCCACTGAAAATCATTTTACTGTGTCCTGCTCGCTCATAATAATGACCTTATGCTGTTGCAAAAAAAAGGAGGCATTATAGATTATAGTTGTGGGACTATATTGCCATATATTATATACAGTGGAAACCTGATATAACAGGGAAGGTGGGAGTAGAGAAAATGTCCTGTTATATCCGATCCCTGTTAAATCAGAAATGCAAGGAAAATAAGCATTTGTGGACTAATCCAGCTGTACTTATTCATAGGTAGTTGCCCTTGGCACAAGTACCCACGAACAGGGGTTTTGGCACCAACTTTCTCCTTGCCTCCTTAAACAAGCTCTTCTGCATCGGGTAGTCTCATCTTCTTTCGATCCAGAGCAAACTTTCCATTGGAGTATGCTGCCGCTACCTTCTCTCTATCCATGGTAATGGTGTGAATTGACCCTTGTGGAATGTCGAACTGACGACAAATCTCTGCCACTGGAGCTTGCTTTTTCAACTTTTTGTCAACAGCCTGGATTATTTCTTTAGTTGTTTTTTTGGTCAATTGAAAGGCATTTTCTCTTGCGCTTGACATCGTTGGTGACAGTAGGAATGCGTGTAGCTAGGTTTCGGGCTAGATCGAGGTCTGCAGCACACCGCAGCCCTCTCTCGTTTCACACGCTGCGTGTGCGTGCATTGGCATGGCTTGCATGGGCTTTCTCCATCACTGCGTTTCTCTCTCTCTCTCTCTCTCTCTTACTTTTTACATGTTGTTAACGAGCCTTTGCCCCTGCTATAACCGGTTAGGCTCCGATGAGGCCCTGTTATTGCCGATAACTTTTAATAGAGACAAAGAGTAGGAAAAATCGGGGATTTAAAAAATCCCTGTTATTACCGGATCCCTGTTATTACCGGATCCCTGTTATTACCGGGCCTGTTATATATGGTTTCCACTGTAATAGATAATTGTGTTATTTTCAGTCCAAGCACTACCTGGAAGACTATGCTGAGGTTCAGATAGAGAACATTAAGTCGACAGCGGATCTGCTGCACAGGCTGAGGGCATACAAGGCCGAGGAAGATTATCCGCTGGGTGAATACCTCATGGACAAAGAGCTCAGCTCCTAAACCACGCCGAAGAATTATCCTTTTGGATTAAAAAGAAAAAGCTGTGCATGTTGCACTAAAAATAAAAGGAAACAAGATTTCGCAAGCCCTTTCTCTTATTGCTCTATTTTAACATTTTGTTTTTCATCAATAAAAAAGTCGTTTTTGTTCGTTTATGTTTGTACTTTATGGTTTTGTTTTTCCTCTTTTTTCTTTGTTTTTAAATTTGTACTATTATGCTTTTTAAAGAGGGAAGGGGGGGGGGGTCGATAGCTTACTCTAACATTTTACAAATCACGAAAGTCATTTTGAAAACGAGGCCCGTTGGAAAACCAAAATTTAAAAAAAAAGTCAAGTAAGAAAAGGAACGAGGTAATAAGATCTATTGATTGTTCACTTGTGTCGTCTGTCGGCGTTTTAAAAAAAAGATAGCTCATTTATAGTTTACTTGTGTTCGCGGAACTATGCATTGCACTCTTCAGGCCAGCGACCAAGTAAAATATGTTTTTTAAATCTTGTTCCTGTTATTTTTTTAAAATGATTATTATTCTCTATTTGGGCTCTTTGAGTGCATACACTGGATCACCAAAAAAAAGTAACAGTAACCTCTCCAACAATTGCTCATTTTGAGACAGAAAAATCACTTTGCCCCCACACTTCAGATTCGTGAACTTGAAGATTTCATTCCACGGCTGTCGAGATGTCTCCCAGTGAGTCTCGAAAAGTACTCACCCCATCTGATTCTGTTGGACAGTATTTCTCAGGCATGATGTTGAGGAATATAATGTGTCAATTTTCAAAAAATTATTTAGCTGTAGATTTAAGCTGTAATCTCCTATTATTTTTTTAAAATCCGCTTTCAGGTTGCAACAAAGAAAACGTGTTAGGACCTCAATTTGCAGTGACCTCTATATTATGAATGGGCCTTTAGATTATATTGGTCGTCCCACTTGTAGACCCGTATGCAAAGATCTGAAAAGATTAAACTATTCTAGGTGATTTCATCTTATCTTGATTTAAACTAACTTAATTAAACGCGGTCGACGAAAAAAAAATCGCTACACCTTTAATATTGGTATCATTTAAGCGTATCATTATCATACAAATGCAAATTGAGCACGAATTAAATCTTCATGTTCGTTGTACAATGTTTTGACCCACAACCATAATTAGAGCAGTGATCTCAGTCACATGCCACTTGAGGTCCGCGAACGATATTTTGCGGTCCTACTTTACATCAAAGTTAAGCATTAGTGCGGCCCGCACGTTTTTCTCACACGCGCCTTTCTTGCCTAGAAGTAGAAGCCTATATAT